GGGGTGTCTCCCCATCATGGGTACCCCCGGGGGGGTCCCCCCAAAACCCTCTCCAGATAATTCTGCAGCTCCCGATCCTGCAGAGGTGGGGGGGGACGGCGGGGGGGCGGTAGGAAAGTCCGGGCCGAGAGATGATTGGAGATGGGAAAGGGTCGGATTCGGGGTCGGGGGGGTCGGATGAGCCTTGGGGGGGCCCCCACAGTTGCTTCTTTCTTGCGTTTCTGCTCGACATCATGGATGATGTCTACCACATCATCGGCTGGGAGGTGGAGTTTGCTGGAAAGCTCAATCAACTGGTCAATGGTGCCGGGATCAAGGTCATCGACGTCGGCCGGATCCTGCGGCGGGATCTCGTTGGATCCTGCTGGGATCTCGTTGGCCCCCGGTGGGATCTCGTTGGCCCCTGGTGGCATCTCATTGCCCCTGGGTAGGATCTCGTTGCCCCTTGGTAGGATCTCGTTGTCTTCCAAGCCCCCATTGCCTTCAAAGCCCCCATTGACCTCCAAGCCGTCACCCTCCAAGCCCCCGTTGCCCTCCAAGCCATCACCTTCAAACCCCCCATTGACTTCCAACCCATCATTGATCTCCGATGGGATCCCATCACCATCTGGCAAGTCATCATCTGGCTCAGCCTCTTCTGATCTCTTATCCTCGGCTACGGCAGCACCGGGACCACGGAGAAGATACCGGAGAAGGAGATCGGATGCCAAATCGGCCAAACGTTCTTCTTCGGCTGCCGCTTTGCGAGCCGCTTCGGCTTGTCGCCGACTTTCAGCCAACTCTTCGTACCGTCGTTCCAACAACCGATGCTCCAAGCTTTGCTGTTGCCGAAGTTGCCTGGAACTCGGCCAACCCCGATCCCGTTCCCGTTCCCGATCCCGTTGCCGATCCCTCTTAGCTTCGGCCCGAAGCCGTCCGAGTTCTTCCAGGTCCTTCAACACCTCATTATGGTTTCCCAACGATGCTGAACGTTTGGTCAACCCAAGATGGGGTTCGGCGGGGGGT